TCAAGAGACTCGACAGAACTTTGTGTTGGGGAAATCTGAAGGGCCTCTCAGCCGAGGCACCCCGGCGTCCCGTATGTCCTGTAAATGGTCATTATCACAGGCCCAAGCAGTTGCATGTCCCTTGTTGGCAGACTGAAGAAGCTACCAAATTTCCAAAGTTATAGAGCAGTGGTTCTCAACCTTTCTATCACCGGGACCCCTAAATATGGTTCCACATGTTGTGGTGACCCCCAACCATAAAATTATTTTCGTTGCTCCTTTATAACTGTAATTTTGATACTGTTACAAATTGTAAATATCTGATATGAAGAATGTGTTTTAATTCAACATAATTAAAGCATCATGATCAATCAGAAAAAAAATATGGATTTGCAGTACCTTCAACCGATTCAGCGCTGACTTCCACAGACCACTGAGACCTCAACACAGAACTCCCGGATGGCAAGAATGTGTGGAAGGCGAGGCGGGCTTTGTGCGAGGCAAGGCTTCGTGTGGAGGATCCCTCGCCTGCCCCGTGCCCTCGTCAGATGGCGAGAGAGCGAGGCAAGCGAGGCGGGCTTTGGGTGAGACCAGGCCTTGCATGAAGGAGCCCTCACCTGGCCCGCGCCTTTGGGGCGGGGCCAACGGAGGCGGCCTCGCAACCCCTCTGAAATGGCCAGACAACCCCCCTGGGGGTTGCGACCCCCAGGTTGAGAACTGCTGTTATAGAGTGTTTAGTCCACGTTTGAAGATTTTATCCCTAATAAAACTTTGTTGGACTTCTCAAGAGACTCGACAGCACTTTGTGCAGGGAAATCTGAAGGGCCTCTCAGCCGAGGCACCCTGGCGTCCCGTTAGGCATTCAGAGGGCATTTCCTGTAAACAGTCATGATCACAGGCCTATTATCACCTTTAGATAGAAATGGCGCAGCATTTCTAGGCAAAGAAAAAAGAGGACGGAAAAATCCATTTCGCTCTCTCCTATGTGACTCAGTCCGAGTATCTGCCTATGTTGTGTGGGACTATTTGAATACTCTGCATTAGGAAGAACTTCCTAACTGTAAGGAGAGATGTTCAGCAGGGGAACTCTCTGCCCCGGAGTGTGGTAGAGGCTCCTTCTTTGGAGGCTTTTAAATAGAAGCTGGATGGCCATCTGTCGGGAGTGCTTTGAATGCGATTTTCCTACTTCTTGGCAGAATGGGAGAATGGGGTTGGACTGGACGGCTCAAAAGATCTCTTCCAACTCTACATGGAAGAAATGGCACAGCATTTCTAGCCAAAGACAAAGAGGACGGAAGAATCCATTTCACTCTCTCCTACGTGACTCAGTCCGAGTATCTTCCTATGTTGTGTGGGACTATTTGAATACTCTGCATTAGGAGGAACTTCCTAACTGTGAGAGCTGTTCAGCGGAGGTCAATGAAGCATCATACGGAGAGGTTAAATGAGGACGGCTTCGGCCAAAATAATAATAATAATAATAATAATAATAATAATAATAATAATAATAATATCTATTATTAATTCCTCATTAATTCCTCAGCCTTTCCACTTATCCCTCTTCTACATCAGTTGCTGCAAACTCAATGAATTCCTACCCAATTGATACAGGAACGAAGAGAAGGCAATGAGATGCTTCTCTTCCCAATCAGCTCAGGCAAAAGGAAACCGCCGTAGTCTTCCTGTTGTGTTTCTCTCCGATCCTATTCACCCTCAGTATAAGGTATTTGAGTTGAGCCTTGGATAGTGCAGACCCAGGGGCGGCTCAACCCATACGCAAAGTAAGCATTCGCGGTAGTTCACCTACAATCAAAGAGCACACTGAACTCCACCAATGAGGGAATTGAACCAAATATGGATAGTGCAGACACAGAAGCGGCTCAACCCATACGCAAAGTAAGCATTCGCGGTAGAGTTGACGTTGCCCAGAGGCGCTCTTGGGGGAAAATAGACCTTGACATATGCGAGTTGTAGTTACTGGGTTGTATAGTTCACCTACAATCAAAGAGCATGCTGAACTCCACCAATGAGGGAATTGAACTAAATATGGATAGGGGTGGGTTGCTGTAGAGTTGACGTTGCCCAGGGGCGCTCTTGGGGGAAAATGGACTTTGACATATGCGAGTTGTAGTTACTGGGTTGTATAGTTCACCTACAATCAAAGAGCACTCTGAACTCCACCAATGAGAGAATTGAACTAAATATGGATAGGGGCGGCTCAACCCATACGCAAAGTAAGCATTCGCGGTAGAGCTGACGTTGCCCAGGGGCGCTCTTGGGGGAAAATAGACCTTGACATATGTGAGTTGTAGTTACTGGGTTGTATAGTTCACCTACAATCAAAGAGCATGCTGAACTCCACCAATGAGGGAATTGAACTAAATATGGATAGTGCAGACCCAGGGGCGGCTCAACCCATACGCAAAGTAAGTATTCGCGGTAGAGTTGACGTTGCCCAGGGGCGCTCTTGAGGCGCTCTTGGGCGAAAATACACCTTGACATATGTGAGTTGTAGTTACTGGGATGTATAGTTCACCTACAATCAAAGAGCATTCTGAACTCCACTAATGATGGAATTGAACCAAATATGGTACACAGAACTCCCACGACCAACAGAAAATACTGGAAGGGTTTGGTGGACATTGACCTTGAGTTTTGGAGTTGTAGTTCACCTACATCCCGAGATCACTGTGGACTCAAACAATGATGGATCTGGACCAAACTTGGCACTGATACTCAACATGTCCAAATGTGAACACTGGTGGAGTTTGGGGAAAATAGACCTTGACATTTGGGAATTGTAGTTATTCTAAAGTTGGAATTTATAGTTCACCTACAATCAAAGAGCATACCAATGATTGAATTGGGCCAAACTTCTCACACAGAACCTCCATGACCAACAGAAAATACTGTGTTTTCTGATGGTCTTTGGCGAACCCTCTGACACCCCCTTGCGACCCCCTCAGGGGTCCTGACCCCCAGGTTGAGAACCACTGATCTATCGGGAGTGCTTTGAATGCGATTTTCCTACTTCTTGGCAGAATGGAAGAATGGGGTTGGACTGGACGACCCACAAGGTCTCTTCCAACTCTATATGGAAGAACTTCCTAACTGTGAGAGCTGTTCAGCAGGGGAACTCTCTGCCCCGGAGTGTGG